CAGGAAAAAAATATTTTAAAGAAATGGAAGGAACGGTATTCTTTTAAAGAGCTCTCTAGAATTTTCTGATTGTACTTCTTTAAAATATATAAAATGACTCCCTCCTTACTATTATCTAATTTTACCACAAAAGAGAATTAAATACACATAGAACTGAGAAGTGCCTCTTTGTTCTGTATTTAAGTAACAAAGCTGACAGGCAACATTAAACTTCCTGACTGCACATGCAGTCTCATAACTACTCAATCTAATCCATGAACCCCAAAGAGAAATGCTTCTTACCACTTGGGCTTCGAAAAAGAACAGGTGCAGTTGAGTTGTCAGGGTCTTGGGGGGTGGCCTCCTGGCCCATTTCATCACTGTCAGACTCTTCAGCCATAGCTTCTTCCACTTCCTCATGCTGCCAGTCCCCTTGCCCTGGCTCCTCAGTCTCGGCATCGCTGCCTACCAGGCCAGAGTGAGAGGCTGCCTCTTCCAAGCCATTACTGGGCAATGCAATGACCTGGGCACTCATCAGGGCCTCCATCTCTTCAAAGAAGGGGCAGGTCTCAGGTGGTTGACCACTCTTGACTTTCCTATAGCTCTTCTGGAGACCCTTGAACTTGGTCCGACACTGTTCCAGGGTCCGAAGGAAGCCATACTCCCGGAGCCGCTCAGCCACAGCCCCATACACTTGGCTGTTTCGATGACAGTTTCGGAGAGCCTCATAAAACTCAGTCTGACTGAGAATTGCAAGGAGAGTTCTGGTCTCTTCGTAGCCCCAGTGCACACCTGCTACCTTCTCATCCTCAAAGCCCCAGTGATCCTGGTCCACCCAGCTTCTTCTCTCTCTCTTGGGTGATAACAGATCAGCATGCATTTGTCTATCTCCTGTGTGACTGCCTCTTGGGAGTTCCTTCTCCTTGGAGCCCAGATCAGGGATCCATGGCTCTCCTTGCTCCAACCTGGAGACCACACCGGATTTAGGAAATGGAAATCCTGCTTGCAGGGAAGCAAACAAAGGATATCATAATTTGGATTGATCATAAAAATACCTCTCAGTTCAGACCTGCCTTTTTTTGAATCCAAGAGGTTTATAAAGAAAGTGTCTAAGGAAGTGTTTTCAGAAAGTTCAATGGGTTGGGGAAAATACATAAAACCTCAAAAAAAGAATATTTTCGAGTAGGGTGACAAGAGAGGAAAAGGTTCTGTTTGTGTATTCAGAGCAAATACTTCTGTTCCATGTTGCTCCCTAGCCCTCCTCACCACTTAATAGGTCTTGGCACTGCTAGGAACAGTCTTATAGGAGGTCTTGATACTGCTGGAAACAGTCACCTCCTATCTCCTATAAGTTCTCCACTAAGAGCTAGAGAATTAAACTCAGAGTGATTTCCAGGGGGGGAGAGAATAAGGGGGGAAACTTCAACTCATCCGTTTCCTTCACACTGTCACCAAGTTCTAAAAGTTTTTCCCATAGTATGTCTTGCTCTGTTCCTTGTGCCACCATCCAAGCCTAGACCCCTTATCCTCTCAGCCAGATAAATGTAGCAGTAACTGTCCTACCTAACTCCAGGCTCTTGCTTCCTCAGCTTAAACACTATACTGCTGAACCTTAACCTGAGTGCCTACCATGCACTGTTCATTCATATCAGACTCCTCTCTAGAACACAGCATACTGTTATTCATCACTCTGTCCCTTTCCTTTAAGTCCCTCCTATTCAAATTTAACCCGTTCTATGAGAAGTTGTATTTGCCAGAGCCACGCTATGAAGCCTTCCCTACTGCCCTGCCTCATCTCTCACTCTGCCAAACCCCTATTATACTCACACAAATTGAGTAACAGTCATTGTTTGGCATGGTTTCAGTACAGTTTAGTTCAGCACATATTTGCTTCCAATCACACCCTAAGCTCTTTGAGAACAGGCACCTTTACTTATTGCAGAGTACCTTGCAAGGCATTGGAATACATGGTAGGTGTTCAAAAACTGATTAATTCTGCAAGTTTCTGTTTGGAGTTGAGGAATTGCATCTGAATTACTAAACAGAGACCATTACAAATGGCTGAGAAGGCTAGCTTCTTGGATGATAAGATCAAAATTCAAAACAACCTCAACAAGTTAAAGAAATTATCAAAAAACCCCAAACATAATATGGAGTTCAACGGAGTATAAAGAAGAAAAACAAGTTCTACAAAATCAAGTACAATAAGCACTAGGCACAAAGACAATGGGGAAAGCGGTAAGAGTCCTGGGAGTTACCAAGTAAACAATCACCAAATAATTAGTTGAGCTCTACTGAAAGAAAATGTAATGAAATTCTGAAGTAAAATTCCTACTCTGCCTTTACCTACCAGACCCTGGAATAATATAATTTAGTTCTCCACGATTAATATTTGGAAGACTTCATTTCCAAAGGGGAATAACAAAAACTTAGTAGGTCTAAAGAATGGAGTTTCTGGGGAAGAGCTTAAAAGAAACAATACAGTTTAATTTGGAGAAGGAAAATGACTGAAAGGTGGCTGTGCCTTCATGTATACAAAAGAATTTTTATCTAGAAAATACCTAATATCATCATTACCAAGAGGAAATAAAATAGTTCCAATTCTGATAAAAACTAGGAAGCCATCCTCTGGCAGACTTGTCAAAAGAAGAAATATAAGAATACTACACCAGAGGCTAAACTACATACCTTCAGGAGGTCTCCAACAACTGCATACTCTACAATTTCAACTCATTTCCTGAAATCCCTTTCCCACTCACTATTCCCAACCCTACTTCCCAATTTAGAATGGCATCCTATCTTCCCATATGAATCTACTCCTCACCGCTCCTTTGAAAAGGTCTGAGCTTCTCCTTTGGGTTCATCTGCTCCTGTGGTCCCAGGTCTGGGCTCCTTGCCCTCTCTTTCTTGGTTACGCCCCTGGGCTGGGGTTCCACTGACTCCTGCCGAACACTTAATAACTCTCGTGATGATTTCAGGGGTGTCATCTTCTCCAAGCGCACTTCCTGCCCCTTCACAGAGACTGTGACCTAGAAACAACCCCCATTAATTGTCACTGCAAGGTTATAATGAGGGGCATTCCCAGAGGAGATTATTTAATACCCCAAAAGAGTTTATCCTTTTGGGACTTCGCTAGGTTTGGCAGGGGAGGAGGTTTAACAGTGAACAAGGGTCTTTCTTATTCCATTACCTTAGAGCAGCTGGAACTCCAGAAAGAAAAGCTCAAGAGAGTAAACCCACCTACAAGCTAAAAAATAATTCCCCTTTCTTCCCTCTTAAGTAAAAAACTGTAAAACTATGAATAACTCATTATGACAGGGTAGCAAAGGTACACCCAGGTAGCATCTCCAGATAAGCTCTATCTGAAAAAGTTACCTGTTCTGGGACCAGAAGTATAAGTCACCAAAGGAGATTGTGCCCGTCTTTAAACCTGTATATACCTTGGCCCTTTATCCTTGCCCCTTCCCAGTCACACACTTCTGAATTCCCCCTCCCTTCTCACCGAACGTCCAGGTCTTCCAGGCTCTCTTTCTAAATCTTCCACCAGAGCCACTGCCTCCTCTCCACTTTCTGGACATTGCTCCTGTACCCAATTCTGGATCTCCCCAGGTAAGATGGTCAGGAACTGCTCTAGCACCAACAATTCTACAATCTGCTCCTTGGTGCGCACCTCCGGCCTTAGCCAACGACAGCAAAGTTCCCAGAGTTGGCTGAAAGCCTCCCGGGGCCCAGCTACCTCCTGGTAGTGAAATCTCCTGAAGCGCTGTCGGAACGTCTCAGAGTTAGTGCCATTCCCTCTCAGAGTGGGTTTGGCCATCATTCACAGCAGAAAGCAGCTCCCCTCCACTTAAGGGTTCGAGGGCTTACACCTATTTTCCCATGTCCTTGGAGAATCACCTGCAGATGAGTCTCTCAACTGTAAGAAGAGTTTCCTCCTAGGGTAGAGAGAGATGGCACTATCAGAAGAAATACACTCATATGTCTAAAGTCTTGCCAAGAGCTGGCCTGACTTCCCATATACTCCACGTGGCCATCTGAGGTAGCACCAGCTTAAGGAAAGCAAGCCAAAACAGCATGGAGAGACCTTTCAAAAGCTACCATTTCTGGGTGACTTCCAAGGAGCCCAGGGAAGCAGCAAAGAATAAAGTATTGTCTGCCCTTCTTCCACCTCCCCCCAAACCTGACCCCATTTAGCTCCCCTGACCAATGTTGCATAGTGAGTTCGAACCATAGGGGAGACCTGGAGCTTGAGAGGCTCTAAAGGCAAGTCACCATCCTGCTGAAGGCAAGCGGGTCGCAGCCAATCTCCCCCAGTACCACCGCAGTCGTTCCGGAGACCCTTTACATCCTCCCCGCCCCCTCAGACTACACAACTACCAATTCCCACCCGGGACAAAAATCAAGTACTGAATACTGGATCTTTGTTTTCCCTCACAGCGTAAGTAACCGCTCAGCAACTATTCGGGAACTACTGACAGGAAACCTCGCGCATTGGGAGGATTGGTTTTGGTTCCTGAAGCGAGGGCCGGTGGGCGTGGGGAGTCACACTGAGTTGGTGGAGAGAGGGAGTCCGAGGGGGGCAGTAGTAATGGGTCTCCTGAGGACGAGTTCGGTTGCTGGCCAGAGGCTCCGGGTGCTGCGGGGTTCGCGGGAGCGGGACTCGGCTCAAGGAGCGGCGGGTGCGGGATTCCGGCCTCTTTGTCTTCGGTCCCTCTGGCCAGGTCACTCTCGGGGCCGTCGTGCGGTTCCTCCAGAGGCCTCCGACTGGGCTAAGGCGCCCTGAGAGCACCCTCCGGCCACCCCTGGGAGCGTCTCCTTCTCGGGGCTGCCCCTCAACCCACTCGCATCTCTGCCCCCGGGCCAGCCTCACCCTCTTAGGGTCGGGCCCGGGCCCCGGCTCTCCAGCCTCGCATTCCAGCTCTCAAACCGGAAGTCCTAGCGGGCGACTAGGGCACTGAGAGCGCATGCGCAAGGGCAACTACTGCGACTCCGCCAGCAGAGCCTCGGCAGGAGCGACCGAGTGGGCCCAGTGGAGCCTGGCACACTTCCGGGACGTGGGGCGCCTCTCCCGTAATATTTCCCCTCCGCTCTTCCAACAGAATTTGTCTTGCCACTTGGGATTCAGGACGAACCGCCTGTCCCAGGGGCCTGTGCGCTTGTCGAGAAGGCAGCATTCGCCTCCGCGGTCCTCTGGAGGGGCGTTGGAGGAGGGGGCGACGGATATAGGGACTCGCGGCCCTGTGTGGGAATGATCCACGAACTGCTCTTGGCTCTGAGCGGGTACCCAGGGTCCATTTTCACATGGAACAAGCGGAGTGGCCTCCAGGTACGGTCCAGCTCAGAGCGCGGGAACTCGGGAGCGCAGAATGGGCGGGCCCGCGCCAGTGTCCGGGGGAGGAGTCTGCGGGGTCGAAGGGCGGGGCTTGCAGGGGCTGCGGTGTTCGCTGGGCGAGTCCCTGGACTGATAACCCGGGAAGTGCCTGAGGGGCGTCGGCGCCCTATACCTCACCTTGAGAGGGCTGGGCCCGGGCCGGCAAACAGGAGGCGGACGCCGGAGGAGGGAGCACGCGCCGCGGCCTAAGGTTGAGGTGTCTAAGCGAGAGTTGCTGGGGAACTGGATGTAAAAGTGAAAAAGGCGCTTTCACCCATTTTCACCCTTCACTGCTTTAAAGTGAGCTTTGAAAGCTAGTCCAAATACGTAGCGCTTAACGCACTATATGGGGTCGGCCAGTTTTGTTGACTGAAAAATGGAGTGTTTCCCTCATTACTCCTTTCCCAGGAAATTTATGCACTAGGAGAATTTGGAAGGCGATTTTCACGTAACCAGGAATGTATGAGGAGGAAGGGCTAGGTACTGTATGCATTATCTCTTTTAATCTTCACAATTACCCATCTCCATTTCACAGATTAACTCCCTGTATCTGGTAGCTAGTAATTAGTGAGCTTCGTCTTGAACCCCAGGGCCGCTTGGCTCCAGTATTTGAACCATTCTTTTCTACTTCTGCTTTCAATAGTATTATCCAATCCTCTCAACAACTTAGTAACCTAGGTATTGTTAGCCCCAGTTTACAAAAGAGCAAACTGAAGCTCAGAGAAATTTATGGTGACTAGTCCTGGTAATGGCAAGATTTGAATCTAGCTCTGTCTGATCACAAAGTCATGCCAATTCCAAACCAAGCAACAGATTCTTAATTATAGAGAACAAACTGATGGTTACCAGAGGGAAGGGGTGTGGGGGAATGGGTGAAATAGGTGATGGAGGTTAAGGAGTGCAGTTATTGTGATGGCCACTGGGTGTTGTATGGAAGTGTTGAATCATTGTATTATACATCTGTGAAACTAGTGTTACACTATGTTAACTAACTGGAATTTAAGTGAAAACTTAAAAAGTCATGCCTATTCTATAAGGATTGGCGGTATAGGCTGTGGAAGAGCAGAAAAATGACATTCTTATTATATAAAACCTGTAAATCAGATTATTATTTTCCCCTATAAAACTAGCACAATGGCAGGTATATAGGAAAAAAATGCTTAGGAAGTATTTGTGGAAGCTTGACTTCTTAAGGTCTCAGCTTTAAAGTCACCTCAGAAAAAATTTTCTCTGACCATCTGTTTAAGTATCCTCACCGTATGCCATTATTCTCTATCACAGCAGCTTGTTTATTTCCCTTATAGGATTTAGCACAGTTCATATTATTTATTTTTGCTAACTGTTAATAGTCTTTCTCCCTCATAGTTTGCCCACAGGGGCAAAGACTATAGTGGTTTTCTTCATCAGTGTAGCCAGCACAGTTTCTGCCATATAGTAGATGTTCAGATATTTATGGAAGGAAAAAAGACTACTAAAAACAGAAAATACTGCATACTTTCTGCAGAGCAGTGTTTTTCACAATCAAATAAATGGAAAATTGTTATGAATGCCTAATATTGATAAAAATCATTTTATTATAATATCGAATACATGTACACATTAACCTAAGTATAAACTCAAGCATATTGCTCTTAAAAAACTATAAAACCAAATATTTGTTACAAAGTAAACAAAACTACCAAATGGATAAATTCAAAATAACATTAATGTATGGTTTCTCAACCTTGGCACTACTGACATTGTAGACTGGATGGATAATTCTTTGTTGTGGGGGTGTGTCCTGCTTGTGCCTTATAGGATGTTTAGCAGCATCCGTGGCCTCTACCCACTAGATGTCAGTAGTACCCCCTGAATTGTGGCAATCAAAAATATCTCCAGACACAAATGGGGCAAAATGGCCTCTGATTGAGAACCGGTGATTTAATGTGACATATACTATTGTTTTGCTGAAACTAAATCTCTAACACTGAGACTGCTACAGATCTCGATTTTGACTTCAGTAAGTCTGTGGTAAAGAATGCCTGTTCATATAAGTAGGTTGTACCAAATGGTATCAATAACTTCAAGGTATTGTTTGCTGTTTCAGAATAACTAGACCTTGAACTTTTATAAAACTCTGCCAACAAAGCACTGCTCAAAATTCCAATTTTAGTGGGACTATCACTTGATAACTGGCTAGAGCTGTCCTAATAATAAAAAATTGCTTTCATGTATTGAGCACTTGCAATGTGCATGGCTTTACATGTGTTAACATTTAATCCCCACAATTACCATCTCCACTTTCTAGATACAAAAACTGAGGCACAGAGAGGTATTTGTCTAAGAGTTCATGCAAGTAAGAGGCAACTCAGGGATTCAGACCTGGCAATCTGACTCCAAGTATGAGTTCTTTCTTTTTTTTTTTTTTTTCCAAAGGCACAAGCAAGGCTTTCCTGGGGCTACAGCTCCAGTTGAAGGGAGACACTGCACTAACAGAGTAATTGGGCTGGCCTCCCAAAGACACATTTTTAGGCACTGTGTCGTGTTACCTCTTAAGTTATTATACTTGAAGATATGGTTAGCATTGTGTCATTAAAATCTGCATTAAATGGAATTAAATTAAATTCCTAAACATTGTGGATTCAGTAACAGAAAAATTCTTCTTTGCCTATTTATTACTGCATTTACTGTCATGTAAAGTTGGCATCCACAAAATACAGTACTCATGATATAAATATGTAATATGCTAAGTTCCTTGGGGATAGTAACTACATCTGATTTTGTTCACTATTTAATCTCGGGATATTAACACAGTGCCTGGGATAAGTAGGTGTTCGTTAGAAGACGGTTGATCCTCCAAAGAAGACATACAGTGGCCAATAAGTAAATGAAAAGATTATCAATATGGCTGATACTGCATTATTAGGGAAATGCAGATCAAAAGCACAATGAGATACCATTTTATACCCATTAGATTAAAAAAAACAGAAAATAACAAGTGTAGGTGAGGTCGTGGAGAAATTAGAACCCTTGTGCATTACTGGTGGGAACGGAAAATGGTGCAGCCCCTGTGGAAAATAATATGGTGACTCCTCAAAAAAATTAAACATAGAACTACCAAATGATCTGCAATTTCACTTCTAGGTATTTCACCCAAAAAAAGTTAAAGAGACATGAACAGATATTTGTATACCCACATTCATAGCAGTATTATTTGCTATAGCCAAAAGGTAAAAGTAATTCAAGCGTCCCTTGGCAGATGAATTGAATAAACAAAATGCTGCACAAACATGCAATGGAATATTTTTCAGTCTTAAAAAGGAAGGAAATTCAAATGATACATGCTACAACATGGATTAACCTTGGAGACACTATACTAAGTGAAAAAGCCAGTCATCAAAAGACAAATACTGTATTTACACTTATTTGAAGTACTTAGAATGGTCAAAATTATAGAGACAAGAAAGAGAAGGGTGGTCGCCAGGGGCTGGGGGCAGGGAGGAATGGGAAGTTAATGTTTAATGAATACAGGGTTTCAGTTTGGGAAGATAAAAAAATTCTGGAGATGGATGTTGGTGATGGATACCCAACAGTGTGAATGCACTTAATGCCACAGAACTGTACTTTTAAAGATGGCCAAAATGGTAACTTTTATGTTATGTGTATTTTACCACAATATAAAAAAAAAGAGGTTGAATGAGTGCATTCTCCTACTACTGTGTTCTACTTGAACTGCTGTGAAACCTTTATATAGCATAGTAGGTTATTATTTGGCCTTCATTTCAATTAAAATAATACCCAATGAAATGAAATACCAAATACAAATGAAAATATGGACACTACATTTATGTCAGTTATAAGGTGCTTTTATAGATTATAGTATGTTACATTAATTTTACATTATAATTGAAATGAAAATAAAATTTAAAATTTTATGGAGAATTTGTAAATCTTAAGAATATGTCTGAGAAACTCCTGGAGTCTGCAGATCCCGGTTTGAGCAGTATTGCTAAAGAGACTTTGTTGAAATCAGGTCAAAAACTTCATATCTTTACAGGCCATCCCTGGAAGATGGCCTAAGAAACAAGTAATAGTAGCCACCTGTGGGGAGGTTGACATGTTTTTAATGTACAACATTTGGTAGTGTTTGAATTTGTTACCATGTGTTACCACCTATTTCAATAAACAACTAATTAGGTCAGGGATGGGGAGCAACACCTTTGTAGCAGTTTGGAATTTACCAAGCTTAAATGGGCATCTTGAGAAGGGAAGTGATTCATAGTATGAAGCATTTGAAGCACCTCAAATATATGCAGGCATCAGTGTTTTTAGCCTGTTACTCTTCCTGCAGGTGTCACAGGACTTCCCATTTCTCCATCCCAGTGAAACCAGCGTCCTGAATCGACTCTGCCGGCTGGGCACAGACTATATTCGCTTCACCGAGTTCATTGAACAGTACACGGGTCATGTGCAGCAACAGGTAGGCTGCTGTTCCCAGGGAATGGACACCTCCAGAGGTCAGAAGTCATGTCAGGTTTTGAGTGAATCCATTGGTAATTGATATGAAATAAGTCTCAAGATGTTATGAATTTCTTATCATTGGAATTATTCGAGTGAGGGCCAGGTAACTAGCTCAAACAAGGGAGAAAATATACACAGGGACCAATCTAGGCAGATTGGTATAAGAGAAAATATGCTTTGCCTGAGTTTTAGGAGACCTGAGTTACATCAGTTTGAGCTGGACCAGAATTCCAGTTCCAGTGGTAAAAACATAAAGTATCATTTCGGATATTTTTGCCATTTTGCTTCTAACTTCCTTAGTCACATGGAGGCAATCAACTAAAATTTTTGGGCTTCATTTTTCTTATTTGAAAATAAAAGAGTTAAATCAGAGAAGGTGCTTGGCACATAGCAAGCACTTAATAAATATTATCCATTAATATGAATTAATTGGAATTGTACACTATTAATTGTGATTAATGGTGTAGAGGTCAAGGATTTGTGTCCTGCTCTATCACTTACTGGCCATAGACTGCTTGGCAGTAACCTAATGTTCAGTAACTTCGGCTCATTTCACTTACCTATAAAACAGGGTTAATAGGTAGTACCTATCTCATAGGGTTGTGAGGATTAAACAAGGTAATTCATGCAAAGTGCCTGGCACATACTAAGCACTCATATTTTTTAAAAGAGAAATTTTTAAAGTTCCCTTTTGTTTTTAACAGTCTGTAATTCTGTCTGAGGTAAGTAAAAAGATTGCTGAATTGTGTGACTCTGATTCAGTGATGAGTGTTGCCCAGTTGAAACAATGATTCTGGTTGAGGAGAAAGGCAGGAACTTGTAGAAAGGAAAAGGAAGGATTCCTGAAATAATGCAGTCAGTACCCTCTGTTATATAAACTGGTTGTCAGGCCTTTGGTGGTCATCTCTGGGGCAGAGGAGTTGGAGAATAATGCCTTATATTTTCCTCTCTGAGACAGGGATTCTGATTCTCTCAAAAGGATTTTATTGCAAATATGTAAGCTAAATGTGAGTTTAAAATCTAATCAATGCCATTTTGCTATAAAATCATATTGAGGGCACATGAATTATCAGAGTTGGAATCCATATATATATTTATATAGATGAAAAGGCTTCTAGTTTTAATTTTTGTAACACTTAAAAGAAAAAAGAAAAAAAAAAGCTGTATTCCTGTGACTATATGGATTTTATCTTATATGTGAATTCCTACTTTCCCAAATTCTAAAGATATCTATAGTGCCTCTTTTTTGGGAACAGTAAAAGCATACTTAATTTCTCTTTCATTTAGTGGTAAATGAAGACATTCAGTTCTCTGAAATGACACAAGATCAAAACAAAATTGGCTGGTTGTAAGCCCATCTGGTCTATTCGCCCTAACCCATGCCAGTCTTATTATAGCTGTGAACCTTTATCTTCAGGAACTGCTAGTATCCTTTGCAGCATCCTCTGACTAACCATGCCTCGTAACCCCTGAGTCCAAACTTCCTACCCTATTTGTTGTGGTATTCTGCGATTGTATCTACTGCCACCAGAGCCTGATCACCCAAGTCAATACATAGCCAGAGAGGCTGGTCATCGTGGCCTCTAGTCAGCTTCCTCTGCAATTCCCTGTGTAAAATACAGAAGAGGCTCTTAGAAAAAATTGCAGGTCTCCTGAAAGACCAGCCATATTTGTAAGGAGGCTCTTGGTGAGAGTCTTATCACTCCTTATGTTGACTATCAGATTCATGCTTCTGATGAATTACCAGGCCAGACAAGAGAAAGGGATGTTAGAAGGAGGATTGAGGTCATTTTATTTATTCAGTAAATATTTACCCTGTGTTCAAAGAACTGTGCTAGAAGCTGAAATACGAAGATGAATAGTGTGTCCTGCCTTCACAAAGCTCTTGGTCTAGAGAGGGGGGCATATAAACAAAAGTACAGTTCAAGCACTACATAGAGTTGCTGTGAAAGCAACAAAGGAGGAGCAGTTCATTTCCTAGGGAGAGTTAGGAAGGGCTCTGAGAAAAGAGATGCTTGAGTTGGGTCCTGTAGGAAGAGTAGGTATTTGTCATAAAGATGAGTACACAGTTATAAGTGGAACACATCCAGATTCATGGGGGTGAGAAATAGAAGCAAGGCACATTTGGCGAACTGTGGGTAGTTTGGAAATGAGAATGTGAAGTTGGAAACAGTAAAAGATAATTTTAGAGAGATAGTTAAGGCCCGAATGTAGAAGTCATTGTATGCCATGCAGAGGAGTTGAGACATTATTCTGGGGCAATGAGAAGCCACCAAAGAGATTTAAGCTGAAAGCTGTAAGGTTAGTTGTAGAAAATCTCCACTGACAATATGAGGTACTACCTCATTGTATATTTTAGAGAGAGAGAGAAGGACAGAGGGAGAGGGAGAGAGAGAGAGAATCTTAAGGAGGCTCCATGCTCAGTGCAGAGCCCAATGTGGGGCTCCATCTCATGACTCTGAGATCATGACCGGAGCTGAAATCAAGAGTCAGATGCATAACCGACTGAGCCACCCAGGTGCCCCCTACCTGATTGTAACATCTAGGCTGCATGGGAAATTAAAATACCACATTTTAAAAGGTCAGAATTCAAAATCTGTCTCATTGGGTTTTTCTCTCATTGAAGCACTGCTTTGATACGGAATCATTTAAGCAAAAACAATAACACTAATAAAGGAGAATGTTTTCCTCAGGTTTTAGAGTCTGAGCTGTGAGGTTGAGTTCTCTTTGTTTGATTTCAGGATCACCATCCATCTCAGCAGGGCCAAGGTGGGTTACATGGAATCTACCTAAGGGCCTTCTGCACAGGGCTGGATTCGGTTTTGCAACCGTATCGCCAAGCACTGCTTGATCTGGAACAAGAGGTGAGAGAGGAGGTACGGGAAAGATGTCTCTGGGACAGCTGATTAGGGCATGTTCTTGAATTTGAAATACCCTTTGATGTGGTCAGGTAGTTAAGAGAGAGCTATTTCCTGCAAGGCTAAAGGGTACAGTATATTCTGTGATTGCCCAAATCACGGTCAAAGTGGTGTGCAGAACATGGCAAAGGCTCTTGAGTGAGTTTATCAGAGCCCTAGCTTTGGGTTTTTTGGTCACCTGAAAAATCAGAATTAATACTCTATGAACTATCAATTCTCAGTAGCCTAAAACTAACATGGAGCCCATTCTCAGATTCCCATCTAGTTTTCAGAGATCAAATAGATTCAAGATATTTCATACGGACCCCTAATCACAGTGTTTTTTGTTGCAGTTCCTGGCTGACCCCCATCTTTCCATATCACATGTCAATTACTCCTTGGATCAGGTATGCTGCCCAAATAAAATGCCTTGGAATCTGTTGTTGTTGTTAGAATAATCTAACTTAAGGGGTGCCCGGCTGGCTCAGTTGGAGTATGTGACTCTTGATACCAGGGCTGTGAGTTTGAGCCCCACGTTGGGTAGAGAGATTACCTAAAAATAAAAAATCTTTAAAAAAAATGAGAAATTAAAAAAAAAGGGGGGTACCTGGGTGGTTCATTTGGTTAAGCATCTGACTCTTGATTTTGACTCAGGTTGTGATCTCAGGGTCTGTGAGATCAAGCCCTGCATCAGGCTCTGCGCTGGGTATGCAGCCTGCTTAGGATTCTCTCTCTCCCTCTGCCCAATCCCCCCCAAAAATTTAAAAATTAAAATTAAATCTATTAAAAAAAAAAGAGCAATCTAACTTAAGACATTATTTTTGAGAACATTTTTCCTTCTGGATTCAGAGCCCGGCATTTTATATTGTGTATGCTTTCCGAGATCAGAACTGTTTAGAAAGCTCCAAATTTAGTGAAAATCTAATGTCTGATATTAATGCTCTTATGTTGACTTCAATGTTAACAATTATGCTAGCCTCAGAAATAGAAACTGCTTATATCTGTCATTCTCTCTCTGCAGCCAAACCCATATCAAATTGCCTTAGGATACTGGATCTTGGCTGTTCTGTGGTATTGCCATCTTTGGGTTAAGTGGGACTATTTAGAAACAAAAGCATTTCCTGAGTCAATTTTTTTTCCTTGTGTTTGATTATGTACCCTCCTAATCATTCTCTGCTTTGCAGTTCCAGCTCCTTTTTCCCTCTGTAATGGTTGTGGTAGAACAAATTAAAAGTCAAAAGGTGAGAACTTTCCTTTTTTCCTTTGCTGTGGTAAGCACCAAGGATGTATTCATAATTAATTTTGCCTTTTTTTTTTGAAGACTCTGGTTTTTAGTAGTTGTCATTTATTTATTCATTCTTTTAAAAATATTTGCTTGGTTAAAAAACAAAAAAACAAAAAAAAATATTTGGTTGGGTATCATGCTAAATGTCAGAAATGCAAAAATGAGTTACGAGACTGCCCTTAAGAACCTCCTGATCCAGAGGTGGGGGTAATGTTAATAGATGTACCCCAGAATGCTGCTGGGTAAGAGCAAAATGCTATGAATGGTATTTGGAGGTGAGAGAATTTTACACCAAGGATTTCGAATTTTTGGATATGGGGGCGCCTGGGTGGCTTAGTCAGTTAAGCGTCTGCCTTCAGCCCAGTCAGGATCTCAGGGTCCTGGGATCAAGCCCCATGTCATGCTCCCCACTCAGCGGGGCGTCTGCTTCTCCCTCTCCTTTTGCCCCTCCCCCTGGCTCATGCTCTCTCTCTCTCTCTCTCTCTCTCAAATAAATAAAATCTTTTAAAAAAAAAAGAATTGTTGGATATGGATCTTGAGGAGAAGTGGAAAGTTCATCTTTAGAAAGAATAATAGGTTTATGATTAGGATGCTGGCAGTTTTCTAAGAATTAGATCATTGGCTGAAACACAGATGCTTATTTTATTAAATATGCCTGTTTTTATCACAAGTTTTTATCATGTGCATTGAAAAGTGAGGGTCCCCAATACCAGGAGAATGCCTTTTCTGGGCAGAGGTAATAACTAAGGAGAAAATGCTTTGAGATTTCACATTAGAAGACTCTGCTAGTCCATAACTGGATGAAAAAGGACAAATGGATTAAATATGTTTAGCTCATTTATGTTTTTAAGCTGTTATATTTGTGCCTTAGCTTATTAGGAGTGTTTACCTTGATAAATGTAACTAGTTAACCAGTTAATTTGCCAGGTTGCTGCTTCATTTTTTGTGCTGTGTAAGTATAGAAATTTCTGCTATGCTGAGTTTATTCTGAGCCAGCAAAGCCAGTAGGGGAGGTGCCGTTTGGCTCTTCAAAGCTGATTATCCTCATCAGATAACACTCAGCTTTTATTATATACTTAACTGTATACCAGGCACTGTGCTAAGTGCTTCACATACTTGATCCTTTTCAGTCCTCTAGGGGGTCAAGTAGGTTAGGTAATGTGCTTAGTGTCACACAGATGGAGATGGTAGAGCTGGGATCTAAACCTGGGTCTGACTCAAAAGATTATGCTCTTAACCACACTACTAAACTGTCCCCCCAAATTGGAGGGGACCTTCTAGGTAAGTAGAGTTAGTATAAGGGTTCCATGCTTAGCTGCACATTTCACTTGGCTTTCAGTTTCCATTGGCCACAGGAAGAAGAGTAGAAACTGAGTAAAGCGGTTGCAGGTGGGCAAATTTTCCTCCTTGCCCGGGTGGTGGTAGAGAAGCCAGTGTGCTCTGGCTCTAGAGAGTTAAAAAATGAGGTCTCAAGAACATGGGGGGGGTGGGAAACAGGGATGATAGCCAACAGATAAAAGGGATCCTTTTAGAGTGATGGAAATGTTATAAAACTAGATTATAGCAATGGTTGCACAACACTGTAAATTTACTAAAAATTGTTGAACAGTATACTTAAAATGGATGAATTTTATAGTATATATATAAATTATACCTCAGTAAAGCAGTTTTAAAAAAGAGAGAGCCTGAAGGACATAGAAGGAGGAAACAGATTTTTGGAAAACTGTATGCCTTATAAATAGTTTGAATTAGGCCTTAATCTGAAATAAAGAGCTTTCTTTACCTCTTAGCTTAGAATTTCAACTCTAAATGATTCTGGTTTCTCTAGCGCAGTAGTTCTCAAACTTCGTCGTACATTAGAATCACTTGGAGTGAGGGGCGCCTGGGTGGCTCAGTTGGTTAAGCGACTGCCTTCGGCTCAGGTCATGATCCTGGAGTCCTGGGATCGAGTCCCACATCGGGCTCCCTGCTCAGCAGGGAGTCTGCTTCTCCCTCTGACCCTATTCCCTCTCGTGCTCTCTATCTCTCATTCTCTCTCTCAAATAAATAAATAAAATCTTTAAAAAAAAAAAAGAATCACTTGGAGTGGAATGTTAAAACCACGTGGCTGGGCCCTACCCCAGAGATGCTGATTCAGTAAGGCTGGAGTTGGGCCCAACAATTTGCATTTCTTACACACTCCCAGGTGCTGCTGCTGCTGCTGGTGGGATACCGGCGGGGTGGAGAGGAGTAAGGAGGGTTGAGGGTCATACTTTTGAGAACTGTTGTGATATCGTGATCTATAATAAGAAATATATATTTGGTCTTTATCCCCTTTCTGACACAGAGCTTCTAAAACTCTTGGAATTTCATAAGTAATAATGATAAAGGTGTCTTGATAGTCATAACAAACCCCTATCAACCACACCTGAGTCTATGTTAATGAAGTGACTTTTGGAAAGCACCTAAGGATGGGCTGGTTGCCAGGAGAACCGACCATTTTAATTGGAGAATTGAGACTTTCATACCCCTGACCTCTGGGGAGGAGAAAGGAGCTAGAGATTGAGTTCAGTTGCCACTAGCCAGTGATTTAATCACTTGTGCGTATGTAATGAAGCCTCCATAAAAACCCAGAAGGACTGCTTTCAGAGAACTTGTAGGTTGATGAACCAGAATACTTCTTCGAGCTACCGCTGCTGGGCCCACACCCCATGGGGACAGAAGCTCCTTTGTTTGGGACCTCACACTATGCATCTCTTCATCTGACTGTTGATTCATATCTTTAGTATGCTTTTGAATAAACAGGTAATCTAGTGAGTAAACAGGTTTTCTGAGTTCTGTGAGCTGCGTTAGCAAATTAATGGAATCCAAGGAGAGGGTCATGGGAACTTCTGATATATCAGCCAGTCAGTCCTGGGCTTGAGATTGGTGTCAGAAGCAGAGGACAGTCTTGTGGGACTGACCCCTTAACTTGTGGAATCTGATGATATTCTGGGTAGGTAGTGTCAGAATTGAGTTGACTTGTAGGACACCCAGCTGCTGTTTGAGAATTGCTTGGTGTTGTGGGGGAAACTGCCCCCCAAACACATTGGAAATGGAGTCAGAATCAGAACTATACATAGATCTTTATCCCCATCATCCGCTGGATTGTGCCCTCTGAATTGAATATAGAATATGAGTTTGTGCTACATGAACTATTAAAATGGAATCAAGTTTGACAAGGCCATATTTTGCGCAGATTCATGGTTGTCAAATCCTGGAAACAGTATACAAACACAGCTGTGGAGGTTTGCCTCCTGTTCGCAGTGCACTAGAAAAGTAAGTCATGGCTTAATTGGGAATTGGGGGCAGGGGTGGGTGATCAAGTGACTTGACTTTGCACTTGTTTTATTTTCAGCTCATCTCAGATTTCCCTCTGGGAAAAGTTATGACCAGGATAGAAGAGATCCATAAAAGCCCGCATGTATGATAGCTCAGAAACTGCAAAAAGTGTTACGAAGTGTTGAGGATCAAAGCTAGGAGGTAGTCACCTAGATAACCTTGAAGCAATGCTTTTTAATTTGGGGATCTCATTATCCTTGGACAATTTCCATTACATGTGCCAAATAAAGTAGCTCTATCTAATCATGTGTATTTTGAGTAGCTGGTGTTTCATATCAAGGGCCTTAAAAATGTTTATACTCTATAATCCCATAATGCCACTCTTAGGAATTTTATCCCAACAGTTATTTGAAAGAAGAAAATAACCATATGCAGAAACATTCATTGCAGTGTTGTCTGTTATATCAGGAAATTAGAAAATTACCAGCAGCGGAAGAAAGCTAAATACAGGTGTATTCACTTGATAGTCTATAAATGTAAAATTAAAAATACTATAAATATAAATACTGTTAGAATCCACAAAAAGAAACTTTCCAGAACATGCTTAAGGAACTTAATTCTCTATTACTGGGCTTTTTTTTTTTTTCTGATAAAAGAACTGCATTTTGATTGTAGAAAATACAGACCTGCAAAGAGAATAGAAATATTTTCTAATCTTTGAAATACACAATTTAACTTTTGCTGTATATTTCTTTCTATATAAATATACACAATTTTATGCATGGAATATAAAATCTTACATAGATCATATGGTAAGTGCATGTTTGTTATATATTTGCGGGGACCAAACTTTATAGACCAAATACTCAAATGTGCAAAATGTAAATGGCCCCACATTTGACTTTTTTTAACATTTGACCACATTTTTCTTTTTCCCCTCTTATATGGACTATGAAATACATACATGTAAATATATATAAATATACACACACGCACACTACATTTTTTTTTTGCTGAATCATTTGAAAGGCTTAACTACCAAAGAGTTCAGTTTTGTAGCTCTTTAGAAAAAAGGCTTATGGGGGGGCGCTTGGGTGGCTCAGTCGTTAAGCGTCTGCCTTCGGCTCAGGTCATGATCCCCGGGTCCTGGGATCGAGCCCCTCATCGGGCTCCCTGCTTCGCGGGAAGCCTGCTTCTCCCTCTCCCACTCCCCCTGCTTGTGTTCTCTCTCTTGCTGTGTCTCTCTCTGTCAAATAAATAAAATCTTTATAAAACAGAAAACATAATTCCCATTAAAAAAAAAGCTTATATAACCTCAATTCTCTTATATAACTTCAATACCATATTACACCCAAAAAAGTTAACATTAATTCAATAGTATATTATCCAAAATAAATCTGAATTTCTCTAGTTGTCCCCCAGAAGTCCAATACCATATTATACCCAAAAAAGTTAACATTAATTCAATAGTGTATTATCCAAAATAAATCTGAATTTTTCCAGTTGTCCCCCAGAAGTCCTTTTCCATTGTTCTTTTTTGCACTCCCGGATGCAGTCCAAATTCTCATGTGGCATTTAACAGTCACCTCTTTTGAGTCCCCTTAATTTGGAACAGTGCCCTTCTTTGCCTTTTTAATCTTTGATGACAACTGACATTTTAAGAGTCTTGACCAGTTGTCTTGTAAACTGTTACACGACCTGGATTTTTTTTATTCCTGGTAATTAGATTTACGTTAAACATTTTTGGCAAGAATACTACATACCATAGGCCGTATTATTTGTTGCATCACATTGGAAGGCACAGAAAGTAAGTGTGTTCCATTATTGGTGGTGTAAAAGCTTGATCACTTGGCTTAGGTGTTTTCTGTCGGATCGCTCCATTTTAAAGGCACATTTTCCTCTTTGTAATTGATGTTATCTGGGAAGTGATCCTTTGAGACCATGAAAGTATCACATTCTCCAACGACCTTTCTGCATTTTGTTGGATTATACTTCTTCAGGTATACCTCTCTCAGTGAATCTACTCTCCCTATGTGATTCCAACAAAAACAAAACAAATTTAATACTGTGTTAGCCAAAAAGACTCCTAGAAGCACATTTAAGTTTAACAAGAACCCTCAGTTTTGAAACTCACTTTACACAAAAGGAGGAAAGAAAATGTGCCTCTTCTAAAAAACTAGCAGAACGTTTACAGAGCATTTAGACTTCAGTATGTAGCCTACAAGTTTGGAAATTTATCATTTAGTTCATTCACAAACATTTAAATTAAAATAGCACAATTATTTTTAGCCTAATTGGTCATTTCCCCTCTGAGTCATCAGACTCAGGCTTCTGTTTATCCTGTCACAGTTTAGAGCATGGCCTCTGTGCCCATATGGGGTTTAATGTTCGTTAAGTGGACTTCTAAAGCTCTCCTACTTTTCTCTCCACTCAGGATCCTGGCCGTGTGTCATGGGGTCATGTATAAGCAGCTCTCCGCCTGGATGCTACATGGACTCCTCCTGGACCAGCACGAAGAGTTCTTTATCAAACAGGGTCCCTCTTCTGGTAATGTCAGTGCCCAGCCAGAAGAGGATGAGGAGGATCTGGGCATTGGGGGACTGACAGGAAAACAGTTGAGAGAACTCCAGGACTTGGTGAGAGCATAGCAGAAAGCCTAGCATACTCCTGCCAGGAGTCAGGAAAGCCTAGAGCTCGTTGACCTTTTAGTGATTTCCACCCCAGTTCCCATCTCATCATAGTTGAAGCATCTTTCACAAATTCTGCAGATATAAACACTTGAACTTGGTTTTATCTTAGCTGCATTCTTAACACCTAACTTAATGTGAGACTACGAAATAGAAAATATATTTGTGGGAGTCCTTTGTTTCCCCTTTTCCCAGTATATGCATTTATGAGATTAATAAGTCTTGTCTCTTAAGGTAGCCATGTAGCTACCCTATAACTTTTAAATGTAGGTTGGAGTTTAGAGTCCCCAAAGCCCTGTATTGTCTTTATTCATCCATTGATCCATTTATTCATTCATTTGTCCTGCTACAACATCTTCTTGAACGCCTGTTACATATATGCCAGGCACTGTTCTAGGAGAGTTACTGGGTGCTTAACTGAAATAGATGAATAAAATGTAGCAGACCCTGTCCTTAAAGAACTTATTGTTTAATGGAAAATGTAGAAAAGTCAACAGTGACATTAGTAAGTATGGGTGTTCTCAGAACTTGGTTTTAGAGTAGCTAGAGAAGCTTTTCAGTGGAATGTACATCTAAATTGCAAAGAGTTTAGGAGGAGAGATCAAGAAATGTTCCAGGCAGGGGGAAGGATGTGTACAAAGTACAGAAACCACGAAAGACATGGCTTACTTGAGGTAGTAATTCAGTTGAAATGGTCAAGTAAAGGCTGAAATACAAAGTGCAAGGACAGTGGAGGGGATTGGGAAATCGCAACCAATGGAACTATTGAGGTAAGATCATGAAAGCCCTTGTAAACAATGGGAAGGAACTTGGACTTGAACCTCAAAAGAGCTTAGAGCCAGTGAAGAATTTTAGGCAAGAGGTTCACACAATCAGACTTCACAATAGATGACTCTGGATAATGTGTGGGGAAATTGTTTTTAAAAAAACTAAGACTAGCAGCACGTAGGTCAGTCAAGAGAATGTTGGGGACACTTAGGTGAAAAATAATGGTGGCCTAAACCAAGGGTGGTGACAGTAAATATGCAGAAGAATAGAGTGGCTTGAGAGAGATTTAGTACATGGACTAGGTAGGCCTTAGTGATTAGATAGGAGTCCAGAGGGAAGAATCAAGAATGTAACCCAAGTTTCTGCCTTCAGTGGCTAGGCAGGTAGAAATGATATGGAATGTGTATGGCAGGTATTGGGAGAAAGAAGATGGATCTAATTTTGGACATGTTGAGGGGTTAAACGTCTGATTCTTGATATCAGCTGAGGTCTTGATCTCAGGGTCGTAAGTTCAAACCCTGCATTGGGCTCCACACTGGGTGTGGAGTCTACTTAAAAATTAATTTTGGACATGTTGAGTTTGAGGTACTTGCAAGACATGTCCAGTGGGTTGAGCTTATAGCTCACAAGAACAGTCTAGCTTGAAGGTAAAGTTTAAGGAGTCATCAGCATATAGCAGTTTTGGTTTTTTTGTTGTTGTTTTTATTTTTTTTAAAGATTTTATTTATTTATTCATGAGAGAGAGAGAGGCAGAAGGAGAAGCAGGCTCCCAAAGAGCAGGGAGCCCGATGCGGGACTCGATCCCAGGACTCTGGGATTGTGACCTGAGCCAAAGGCAGACGTTTAACCATCTGAGCCACCCAGGCGCCAGCATATAGCAGTTTTTAACCTGGGGCCCAGGGGTGGCTTCAGGAGGTTCTGTGAAATGTATGTTTGTATATTTGTCTGGAAGGTCCATAGCTTTTATTTATTTATTTTTTTAATTTTTTTTTATTCATGAGAGTCAGAGAGAGAGAGAGAGGCAGAGGCAGAGGGAGAAGCAGGCTCCCCGCCTAGCAGGGAGCCCAGTGCAGGACTCGATCCCAGGACCCTGGGATCATGACCTGAGCCGAAGGCAGACGCTTAACCATCTGAGCCACCCAGGTGCCCCTCCATAGCTTTTATATAATGGCAGAGAGTCCTGTGATATAAAAAGATTTAAAACACCTGTTACAATGGTCAATTCAGTGATGGAAGAAGATATGATTGTTTAAGAAGAGTGAGGAGAGGGAGAAGAAGTGAGGGTCTGGGGATTGCCCTGAGGACCACCTGCACTAGAGCACAAAACAAAGTGTGAAGAGCAGAGCTCAGAGTTAGGATTGTGGAGCCCAGAGTTCCTGGTCAGAGCTGGACGATAAGGGTTAAATCCAAAGCAAGTCGGAGAAATGTGAGGGCCTGAGTGATTGGGTGGTGGGCATCTGGGGCATCATGGGCCAGTTCAGTGGTTCTCAAACTTCCACGTGTGTCAGAATCAGCTGGAGAGCTTGTTAAGACACGGATGGATGTCTGGGCCTCATCTCTCAGGTTGTCCTAGATCTGGGGAGGGGCTTGAAAATTTACATTTCTAACAAGCTTCCAAGTGAGGCTGATGCTGCTGGTCCACGAGCCACACTGAGAACCACTTGGCTAAATGACTCGGGCTATGTACTAGTAAAGAGCTGGGCAGAGCCAGCATACACGATGAGATAATAAAGTCACAGACCTGTAGACCTGGAAAAAATAAAGACTAATTCTTCCATGCTACAGGTAAGGAAACTGGGTTCCCGATCTACTGCACAAATTCTTACATAGTAAAGGCAGAGTGAGGACTAAAATCCTAATGTTAAAAAAAAAACCTCAGTTGGTCCGAGGGTTGTGGGTTATTGTTAAGCTGTCAAAAAAAAAAAAACAACTCACAACACTGTTATTTCCACCATGCTGTCCTGCTGTCTGAAAATGGAAATATGTTCATCTCTCTGACACTGGTAATTTAGGCATTGTGCAACTTCAGGTTTAAAGTCCCTGCTTCAGGGTGCCTGGGTGGCTCAATTGGTTAAGCATCCAACTCCTGATTTCGGCTCAGGTTGTGATCTCAGGGTGGTGAGATCAAGCACCATGTACAGCCCATGTACAGCTCTGCGCTCAGCATGGAGTCTGCTTGAGATTCTCTCTGTTGACCTCTCCTCCTCCCCCACTTGCACGCACTCTCTCTCTATAATAAATAAATTTTTAAAAAAGTAAGGTCCCTACCTCTAGAAAATATAAATCATGGGTTGGGAGAATTAGTGATGTTTTTTGCTTTCTGCTTCTTCCTTCATACATCATGTCTGATGCAGATTATTTTCTTGAGTAGCGCCTGATAGAGGAAGAGAACATGCTGGCACCGTCTCTAAAGCAGTTTTCCTTACGAGTGGAGATTTTGCCATCCTACATTCCAGTGAGGGTTGCTGAAAAAATTCTGTTTGTCGGAGAATCTGTCCAGATGTTTGAGAATCAAAATGTAAACCTGACTAGGAAAGGTGAGAACCTCCTTGTCCAGTGTGCCCTGTCTTCAAAGGCCCTTTTTAATATCTCGTGGCCCCAGTGTACGCCTGGTCCAAGGGAGCGGCTAATAAGATTGATGCACCGAGATTGCAGCACAACCATGACACGCTTATGTGAGAAGCAGGGGAAGGAGCTGCACCATGGGGACTAGAAATCCTTGCCTGTCCTGCTCTGCTCTTCCTTTGATGGTGCCTGCCTGTTTTGCAGGATCCATATTGAAGAACCAGGAGGACACTTTTGCTGCAGAGTTACATCGGCTCAAACAGCAGCCGCTCTTCAGCCTCGTGGATTTCGAGCAGGTGGTGGATCGTATTCGCAGTACCGTGGCCGAGGTTTGTATGTCACAGTAGGCTTTCTTAGCAAGAAAACAGACTAGTTCCCCAGGAATTGAGTACTTGACTTCCGTTGCATCTTGATGTGGTTAGAACTTAGCTTGGAGGGAATTGTGAGTCAAAGGGCAAGAAGTTTTTGATAATAGAGGTGGAACTGCTTTGCTTTAGTCTTCACACCTGACAGGAGTTTGCTAGCTAGCTACTTACTTGAACAAAGGGAGGTCTCACTTTCAAATTCAGACAGTCAGCATTTTGAATCTGTCAATGTAGTCGGCAATAATTGCAAGGAATCAACAGATTCTGACTAAATTTAGCGCCTTGCTTATATTTTAGATGGCTTTATTACTTTTTCATTTATGGGTATAATAACCCTATGAGGAACACAGAACAAGTATTATTTTTCCATTTTTACAAATGAATAAAATAGCTAACTTGGCTGGTGTTGCACAGTAAGTAACAAAGGTGACGTCAGAAGCAGGTCTTATAACTCCTAGTTCAGTGTTCTTTTTTTTTCAGAGATTTATTTACTTATTTGAGAGAGAGAGAGTGAGCACGAGCAGGGGGACAGATGGAAGGAGAGGAAGACAAGCAGACTCCCCACTGAGCAGGGAGCCTGATGCTGGGCTCAGTCCCAGGACCTTTGAGATCATGAGCTGAGCCAAAATCAAGAGTCAGAGGCTTAACTGACGCAGGCGCCCCCTTAGTTCAGTGTTCTTAAGTGAATTGTGCTACATCCACCAACTTAGATTGTGATCAGTGATTTTTCAGATGTGTGTCTGTGCTGTGGCTTAAAATAAAATTTGGCTCACAGGTGTCTGATAATGTGAGATGAGATTTTTAGTTTAGTCAGCTGTTTTGTTTACTATATTAGTGGTTTTCAACTTTGGCTGTGCATAGCATTGCTTCGGAAAATCTTAAAACATGCACTTGTATAAGTCCTCACCTCCAGAGCTGCTGACTGGTAGATCTACATTGGGAGGAAGGGAGTAGGTACTTGTATTTATACCATCCAACTAGACAACCAACAAACAAACCACTGCAGGTGATTTTGAAGCATACCCAGTGCACTGCAGGATCTAGAACTGCTAGGAAGCTTAGCATCAGATATCCTCACAATGGAAGTATAGTAATCTATTGTGAATATGATTTCCTTTTCCAGTCACTGTCTCAAAAATTGTAGGCATGGCAGATAGCTATAATGGAGACAGAATATTAGATCATAAGGTGACATTTAGGTTTTACTTCATTTGATTCTTTATGGGCAAGTAAATATTTATACTCTCTAGAATACATGCTTTTGTCCTGTCATAATTTCAAGATCCTACCCCTCTGCCTATAGCCAAGGTAGCCCTTGTCAAGGGGGCTGGTGTCTTGAGGTCCTTTCATCTTATTTTATTAAATCTGTTTCTGTTCTTTTATTATTCTTGTGATAACTCTGGAGTTAATTCATGGAGGAAAGTAAAAATCTTATTGAATGAATAATACAAGATTTCAAATTTGTTTTTCTTGTGAAATTCTGAAATATGGATATTGGTAGAAATTACATTTCCAGTTTGTAAAAATGATAGATGAAGAATGGAAGTTCAGACTCATTGAAGTTTTTTACAATTGTAGTTAATAGGCCTTTTTTAAAGGTATTCTCTCTCTTTTTTTTAAGGTATTCTCTTAAAATAACAATTTCTAGTAATGAAAATAGAGTTTACTTTTCAGAAGGAAAAGGGGGGAGTGTCTTGGAAATATATCATACTCCTCCCCTTTTGGTTTTCTCTTTCTCTATTTAAGTATACATACTATATGAATTTATATAAAGTTCAAAAACAGTTAATATAAAGTTTAATATAAAGGTTCAAACGCAGGGACACCTGGGTGGCTCAGTCAGTTAAGCATCTACCTCTTGATTTCAGCTCAGGTTGTGATCTCGGTTTCATGAGATTGAGCCCTACATTGGGCTCTGAGCTGGGCATGGAGCTTGCTTAAGATTCTTTCTCTCCCTCTCCCTTAAACCCTTCCCCACCCGACTGTCTCTCTCTCCAAAAAAAAAAAAAAAAAAAAGTTCAAATGCAGAACTAATCTGGTGTTAGATGTCAGGAGAGTATTTGACCTTAGTCAATGGGAAGGACAGGAAGAAGGCTTTCAAGGTGCTGGTTATACAGGTGTATTCAATTTGTGAAAATTCTCCAAGCTGTAAACTTACTATTTGTGTACTTTTCTGTATATTTTTTAGTACTTAAAAGATTTTGAAAATTAATTCCTAGATATTTGTTTGTTATTTTGATTTTTTTTTTTTTAGTTGGGTACTGTTTTTATGTAGAGAAATGGCAGTATTAATTTTTGTGGGTTAATCTTTTTTTTTAATATATTTTATTGATTTATTTGACAGAGGGAGAGATAGCGAGAGCAGGAACACAAGCAGGGGGAGTGGGAGAGGGAGAAGCAGACTCCCCACCAAGTAGGGAGCCCGATGCGGAGCTCGATCCCAGGACCCTGGGATCATGACCTGAGCCGACGGCAGACGCTTAACGACTGAGCCACACAGGCGCCCCTTTTTTTTTTTTTAGTTCTAATAGTTTGTTGATTCTGTTGATTTTTCTAAGAAATGATCATATCATTTGGAAATAATGAGTTTTACAACTTCCAATTTTAGACTTTTTTTTCTTACAGTCTTGGATCTCTAATACTACATTAAACAGCTGGAGTGATAGTTGATATAAACCGTGTTAACCACTGGAGGCGATAGTGGGCATTTTTGCTTTGTTGGCTCTTAAAGATCTTGCCTTGACAGTTTCTCTATTACTCTAATGTTTACTGTAGGCTTTTGGCAACATAAGTTTATCAGGTTAAAAAAGTTATCTTCTTTCTAGTTTGCTATGCGTTTTTATCATAAATAGATGTTGAATTTTATCAACTGCTTTTTCTATATCGATGGTGGTGCAGTTTCTTGCTCTGGGTTCTTTCTCTCCTTCAGTCTACTCATAGGGTGGGTAAATTCCCGGTTAGATTTTCAGTTGTTGAATCTTCCTGAGATAAACTGTACTTGAAAACATGAGGTTGTATTTTTTAATACAGTATTGGATTTGGTTAGCCAGTATAATACTTGGAATTTTTGCATCTACATTTACTAGTGAAATTAGACGACTCTGGTTTTATTCCCATGTGGTTGCAGAAAAAGACTGTATAAGCCTCATAAAATGAGCTAGGTATCTATCACTTTTGTTTTTTCTAGAATAATTAATATAAGATAGTTGTTACTGGAAGTTTTATTGAATTTACTGAAAATTTATCTAAGCTAGGTTGTTTAAGAAGGGGAGATCTTGGGAGAGCCTGGGTGGCTCAGTCAATTAAGCATCTGACTCTTGGTTTTGTTTCAGGCCATGATCTCAGGGTCTGGGGATAGAGCCCCACATGGGGCTCCACGCTCATCAGGGAGTCTGCTTGAGGATTTCTATTCCCTTTCCCTCTGCCCCTCCGCCCACATGTGTCCTCTCTCTCTCTCTCTCAAATAAATAAAATATTTTTAAAAAGGGGGGGAAGGAAAATCTTTACCAATTCAGTGTATTTAAACCTACGTTAGTCTGTTCAAGACCTTTATTTCTTGTACCAATTTTGGTATTTTCTACTTTTCTAGGAAGGCCCATTTCATCTAGATTTAGTTTTTTAGAAAATCTGTAGCTATTTGTTTTACTTTGTATTTTATTTTAAGCTTTCAGTGTTGAATCTTACTAATCTTTTCGAAGAACCGGCTTGTGTTTTTATTACCCTATTTTTTCTTTATCTTATTGATATCTGCCTTTATTATTTTTCTTCCTTCTTGTTTCTTTGAGTTTTCTGTTACTCTTTGCCAGTTTCCTGGATTGAAAACTTGACTTTTCTATTTGTAACCCTTGCTTCCTAGGAAATATATATAAAACTTAACATATTGCTTTGAACTTGTCCCACAAGTTTTTGGCATGGAGTATATATATTATCATCCTGTTCTTAAATAATTTTTTATTTTCTTTCTGATTTTCTTTTTAACCCCAGGGACTTATTTTTAATTTTTATTGCAGTATAGTTGGAAAACAGTCTGTAGATAGGTCCTTTGGAGTTGATTGAGGCTTCCATTATGGATTAATGTAGGGCCTGTTTCTTGTTTTTTAGTTCTACCTGTGCTCAGAGAGTATATATTCTGTGAGTCTAGAGTTCTGTGCATGTTCTAATATCTCATCTCCAAGCTGTATGTTAGGCATGTGCATATTTGTAATGAATATATATTTGTTTTTCCTTTTATGTATATATAATGTCTTATCACTTATGATATATATTTCTATATAATATATATATATTTAAATTTTTTTTTTAACTTAAAATCTATTTTCTTAGTTAAGGTCATTACCCACCTCTCTTCCAGGTCATTATTTACCTCAGATCTTCTTCCATCCTTTATTTTCAATGCTTTTTACCTCCCTGCCCCCAAGCAACCACTGATCTGCTTTCTGTCACTAGAGATTAGTTTGCATTTTCTAGAATCTATATAGATGGAGTCAAACAGTATGTACTCTTTTGGGGGAGGAGATGGGTCAGGCTGCTTTTCCTCATGATTATTTTGAGATTAATCCATGTTGCATGTATCAATAGTTTATTCCTTTTTTTAAGCTTGCACAAAATGTTCCTATAACCATCATTAATATTATTTTAAACATTTCTCTAAATGCATTGCTGAATGGTAAACATATCCCTGTACTTGAACACTCATTTCATAGCAATTAAGTACCACTTTTATAAATACCGTTATTACAAGTGTTTATAAACACTTCTCTAAATGCATCATAGACAAGCTAGCACACCCATTCCCTGAAATAACTCTTCTCAAAGTATCCTGAACATATAATTTTTTTTTAAACTTTTTCTTATTGAGGATCTTTATTGATCTTTTATTGAGGATATTTATTACATGTGTTTTCATTTTTTGTTTATTTTTCACTGTTAATACATGTGCTTTTTTTTTTTTACTCAAAATGTATTTGATATATAACATTATATAAATTTAAGGTATTACAGCATGTTGATTTGACACATTTATGTATTCTAATAAGATTTTCATTGTAGGGATAGTTAGCACCTCTATTATAGCACATAACTATCATTTCTTTGTTGTGGTGGGAATAATTAAGATCTAGTCTCTTAGCAAATTTGATTATAGTACAACTTTGTTGTCCATATTCACTATACCATGACTTAGATCTCCAGGACTGACTTACCTACTAGTTGCAAGTTCGTACCCTTAAAAAGCATCTCCCGGGGCGCCTGGGTGGCTCAGTTGGTTAAGCCGCTGCCTTCAGCTCAGGTCATGATCCCAGGGTCCTGGGATCGAGCCCCACATCGGGCTCCCTGCTCATGCAGGAAGCCTGCTTCTCCCTCTGCCTGCCGCTCCCCCTGCTTGTGCTCTCTCCCTCTCTCTCTCTCGCTCTCTCTGTGTGTCAAATAAATAAATAAAATCTTTAAAAAAAAAAAAAAAGCATCTCCCTATCCCCCTACCCCGCGGTCCCTGGTAACCACCATTTTACTCTGTTTTTATGAGTTTGGCTTTTTTGGACTCCACATATAAATGATATCATGCAGTATTTCTTTCTCTGATGTATCTCAGTATAATATGCTCAAGGTCCATCCATGTTGTCACAAGTGGCAGAATTTCCATTTTTTTCATGACTGAAATATATATATTTCATTATATATCACATCTTTATCTGTTCATCCATCATGGACACTTAGTTGTTTCCATATCTTGGCTATTGTGAATAATGCTGCAGTAAACGTGGGAGTGTACATATCTCTTTGATAATCCTGTTTCATTTCCTTTGTGTATATACCCAGAAGTAGAATTCTGGATCATATGGTAGTTCAATTTTTAATTTTTCAGGAACCTCCATACTGTTTTCCATAGTGGCTGAACCAATTTACATTCCCACCAACAGTTCCACATCCTTGCCAACAACTTGTTACCTCTTCTTGATGATAACCATTCTAATAGGTGTGAAATGATAGCTCATTGTGGTCTTGATTCGCATTTCCCTGATGGCTAATGATATTGGGCATCTTTTCATGTACCTGTTGGCCATCTGTATGTCTTCTTCGGAAAAATATGTGTTTAGTTCCTCTGCCCATTTTTTAATTGGATTGTTTGTGTTTTGTTGTTGTTGTTATTGAGTTGTAGGACTTCTTTATATATTTCAGATATTCCTTATCAAATATGTGGTTTGCACATATTTTCTTCCATTCTGGAGGTTGTCTTTTAAATTTGTTGTTTCTTCTTATGTGCAGAAGTTTTTTTCTTTTTTTAAGATTTTATTTATTTGATAAATAGAGGGAACATGAGTGGGAGGGGCAGAGGCAGAGGGAGAAGCAGACTCCCCACTGAGCAAGGAGCCTGATTCAGGGCTCGATCCCGGGACCCTGGGATCATGACCTGAGCCGAAGGCAGACGCTTAACTGATTGAGCCACCCAGGCAGCCCACCCCCCCTTTTTTTTAAAGATTTTATTTATGGGACGCCTGGGTGGCTCAGTCAGTTAAGCGTCTGCCTTCGGCTCAGGTCATGATTCCAGGGTCCTGGGATCGAGCCCCACATCGGGCTCCCGGCTCAGCGGGGAATCTGCTTCTCCCTCTCCCTCTGCTGCTCCCCCTGCTTGTGCTCTCTCTCTCGCTGTCAAATAAATAAAATCTTTAAAAAAAAATAGTGTACAATTCAGTGGTTTTTAGTATATTCAGTGTTGTGCAACCATCACCACCATCTAATTCCAGAACATTTCCATTTCTTTTTTTTTTTTTTTTAACTTTAAACCATCCCTTCATTCTTGGGATTAACTCAGCTTGGTCATGGCATATATTCTGTTTTCAGTATATTGCTGGATTTGTACAAAACCATTCTTGATAGAACTTTTCTTTGGAATGAAATTTTGTCCCTGTTTTGTTCTTTTCACAGCATCTCTGGAAGCTGATGGTGGAAGAATCAGATTTACTGGGTCAGCTGAAGGTAACAGCTTAGCTGTCTTTTAATTCTTAAAATGATGCTGGTGGGCAGTGACTTTATTCTCTAGGCTCTCCTGAGAGCATTGGTTGCCTGTATCCAGACTTCCAGAGTGGCCTCACATGTCTTCATCCAGGAGGGCAAACTCTCCCTAATATTACACGTGTACTCTAGCATAAAGGTTTGGGTGTTTACTTTCTTCTGGGAGAACAGACTTGTGTTGCCAATGAATAAATGACACTAAAGACATACTAGTTGTCCTGCCTTGAGGAGTTGCAAAGTATGCCCATGTGAAATGCCCAAAGCCTGTATCCTTTTGTAGGCTGGGCTCACACTGATGAGATTAGAAACTTCATGTATAATGATGACAATGAGGAGCTCCTGGCCCTGCTAGATTACTGAATTGTAAATTGAAATTCTTTCCGCAGATCATTAAAGATTTTTACCTTCTGGGACGTGGAGAACTGTTTCAGGCCTTCATTGACACAGCTCAACACATGTTAAAAACACCACCCACTGCAGTAACTGAACATGGTAATTGCCCTGTGGGCCTGAGAATTACCAGTTGACTGATGTTGTAGAGTGTTTCTTGATAGCTGCTGAACCGTTCAGTCTGTTCCACGTAAGAGCAGCCTGGTGAGTTAGAGAGCAGTGTTTCCAAAGATGGAAGGCCCGTCAGGTGGGCTGCACACTGAGGTCATTGGGAGTAGCCTCTTGATCCTTCCTGGAAGAGTGGGTGTAAATCAGGTATTTTATCAGCTTATAGTCCTACATTCCTTACGGGACATATCGCTACTTATTGCCACTTGTATTCGAATTCTTTAGGTTGTGAATGATGGAAACCTAACCTGAACTAACCTAGAAAAGGGGAATTTATTTGCTATTTTATCTGTAACTCCAGTGGGATAGGAGTATAGCTGGACTTCAGAACAACTGAAAGTAGGACTTGAATATTGCTAGAATTCTCTTTCTTATCTTGTCTGTGCCTCTTCCATGCTCTCTCATGGCCTTCCAGTCCCATTTGGAAACATGGCCAGCAACAGTTTCCAGGAACCACCTCACAGTGTCTACTAGAAGAGCCAAATCCAATCTCTCTGGTAGCAAATTTTTAAAGATTCCAAGAAAGGGTTTTCATTAGCCCTGTCCAGATCATATACATACCCCCGCATGAAAGATGTCAGACATTAAGATACGCCTACTTCAGTAAAGTGTTCACCCATGACTAATGGGAATGATCACCATTCCCATTCAAACTACATGAGGAGAGGGGACCTGGGTGGCTCAGTCGGTTGGGCGTCTGCCTTTGGCTCGGGTCATGATCTCAGGGTCCTGGGATCGAGCCCCACATCAGGCTCCCTGCCCAGTGGAGTCTGCTTCTCCCTCTCCCTCTCCCTCTGACCCTCCTCCCTGCTTGTGCTCTCTCTCTCTCTGTGTCTCAAATAAAATCTTTAAAACAAACAAGCAAAAACCAAACTACATGAGGAGAGTCAGGAAAGGATTAGAATCAAAAAAAGAAAATGGGGGGAAACCAACAGGGTTACCTTTCTTCCTACTCTATAAAACAATTGATGGCCACTGTACTCATGTAAGACTTTTCTCATTGCAGATATGACAAAACCCAATTCAAACTCATGCAAAGGGGAAGAAAAATGTATTGATTCTGATAACTGAAAAGGTCAGAGGATGAAGGCTTTAGGCAAAGTCTGATCTGGTGGCTCACATGACGCCTTCAGGACTTGGTGTCATTCCATCTTTCACCTCTGCCTTCTTTCTCAGACAGGCCTGCTCCATATGGTAGTAAGATGGCCTCCAACCAAGCTCACATCCCACTAAGTCCCTATTTATCTAAAAAAAAAAAAAAAAAAAAAAGGCTCTACTCTGAATAGAGCCTCTGGATTGGCCTGGCTTGAGTCATGTTCATGTCCCTAAACAAAACAGTGTAACAAAGTAGAGTATTATATTCCATTTGAGCATGCCTGGGTCACTTGCCTACCCCTAGCATGAGGTATTGTCAACCCCACTGAACCACTTGGATAATACTGGGAGGGATAATTCTCCAAGGAAAATTGGGTGCTATTATCAGCAAGAGAAGGAGGAATGCATGCGAGGCAGGCAAAAGCAGCCCATCTCCACAGCATCCTATGGTTAGCATCAGGCAGGCTGGAGCAGAAGTGGAAAGCCAGCAGCATCTGGGTCTGTCATGTAGCCTAACGTTCTTGTTAGCCCATGTGCTCCTTCTTGCAGATGTGAATGTGGCCTTCCAGCAGTCCGCACACAAGGTCCTGCTGGACGATGACAACCTTCTCCCTCTGCTGCACTTGACAATCGAGTATCACGGAAAGGAGCATAAAGGTTTGCCATTCTTTCTTGCATCTTTCTGCTCCTACGGGTTCATCATCTGTTCTCCCATCAGTGCTTCCGCCCACCTCCACAGAAACCATATCATTTTGGACCTTAGAAGTCACCTTGTCTGGGGCCCTATTTTATATGGGAGGAAAGGGAAGTCCAGAGAGGCTAAGTGGGATGCTCAGGCCATGGTTTTGGTTTTGGTTTTGTCCTGCTGCTAGAATGGTCTCTTTTTATTTCCAGCCACCAGACTTTAAGGCTGAAAAAAATCTGAAAGACCTTCTAAGAGAATCTCACATAGACTTTCCTTGCTTTCTTCTGCAAGTCCCCTTTTTGTCGCCAATATGCTTCTGACACTGCAGGCTCGAGTGAGCACTCACCTCATGAATGTGACTCACCTTGTCAAAGCCCTGGTTCTAGATGAACAAAGTGTCTTTTTCTCTTAACAGATGCTGCTCAGGGAAGAGAAGGGCCTTCTCGGGAAACTTCTCCCCGGGAAGCCCCTGCATCTGGCTGGGCAGCCCTAGGTCTCTCCTACAAAGTGCAGTGGCCACTGCACATTCTCTTCACCCCTGCTGTTCTGGAAAAGTGAGTATTTCTGAATTTCTCATTGGTAAATATGACCTGACTTCCAAGGGTAGAAATGATCAAGGAATAGAATTGGTGGGAGCAAGACAACCACGCAGCTGGTGGTTGTACACAGTCCGTAAATCAGAGGCTGCAAACTCAGATGCCTTCGTGGACTGGACAGAAAACCTTAGCAAGTGAAGCTGTGGACACGAGGCCGTGGGGGGTGCTGGGTGCTGGGTGCTGGGACGAACAGGAGGGTCATACCCTCAAATCATCAGTGTGGTGGTGGTGGTTGTGTGCGTTTGTTGTTAAAAATGGTTTTTATTTTTTAAGCAATCTCTATACCCAAAGTGGGGCTTGAAATTACAGCCCTGAGATCCAGAGTCACAGAGGCACCCCTGTTGTCATTTTTGAAGTTGCAAAATCAGCAGTTTACAGCCTGCCAGTCTGTGGCCTCTGGAAGGTGCAGTCTTGGGCACCACATGGAGAAGCTGGCTGTGGGTAATTCCATCAGACTAGCAAGTTTCCTCCCTAAAACTTTTGTAATCTTGTGTTGATCTACCTGAGAAGACTTTCTAAGCCCGAGTGTTTGCTGTGGACTTGAGCCACTGCAGAGAAATCACCTTCTTACCCAGGGAGAGGTGGTGGGGATGGCTAAGCTGGAGTGGAATACAGGAGCAGGACCAATGTAGTAAGAGGCTCTTGGATCAGCTTTGTTCTTTATCCTGAGAGCCTGCCAGGTGCTTTTGCTCAGCTCCGTCAGAACCTCATGGCCCTAAGCGAAGGAAGCAGAGCTCTAGGGGAAGGGAGGCTGGAAAAGCGTGCTTGGCTAGTGGTCGCCTGTGGAATCCGTCCCCACACCATTTATGAATCTCTCAAATCCTGTGCTGGCCCCTGCCGTGGTTGGAGGACGGCAGCCGTTGTGCTCCGGCTAGAGGAATGGAGGAAAGGGAAATAAATGAACAAAAGCGCCTCTCTTCATCTCTCTGCTCCTGTTCACAATCCTCTCACCTTTTTGGGTAGAGAAGCTTAGGGTATGAGAGCCTAGGCATGAACTGGAGAAGACGAAGCTGGTCGAGGGAGATTTCTGTGGCAAGTGTAGAGCCCACAGCCCACCTGAGGAAGCTGCACGGGCCTTGTCCGTGAGCCTTCGCAGCTCCCAGTGTCCCACAGGCAAACATTTACGTCCTCACCTGATACACTCTGAACACCCTGGAATAAATCAATCTCCGATGTATTTTTTAAAACTTTTTATTATGAGAATTTCCAAATATAAACAAAAGTATGGACTCTAATGATCCCCCACATATACATTATCCAGCTGCAGTAACCGTCAACATGCTGCTTGTTCCCTCTCTTGTTTTCGCTAGAGCCTTATGCAGCAAAGCCCAGGCATGTCGTTTCACTCCATCGCTATGCAATTCAGAAAAGGCATGTTTTTAATGTAATTACAATGCAGTATCACAGCCAATAAAATTAACAATAAGTCCTTATCTGATATCTGGTACAGATTGAAATTTTCCCAGTTAGCCAAAAATGTCTTTTTATATTTCGGTTTGTTCAAATCAGAATCCAAACAAGGTATACTATTTTTACTATGTTGTTCCATTAGAAATAGATGATTTTAAAAACCCAATCAGATTGGTTTCTGCAAGTCTGCCTACAAACAAGTAAATATATCCAGTTCACTAGGAATCAGCTGTTCTTCCCATGTGTGTTCTCGGCGTGGGGCTCAGCATTAGGCAGCTAGCTAGCCCCTGAGCTTGCCGTGACGCAGGAGTTAGGGACCCCTCAATTGCGTTCTCTTCTTTAGGACAGAAAATCAGATTAACTGAAATCCTTGCTTCCTAATCCTTGCTTCCTAACACATTTTTATTATTGGTCCATGCAAGACCCTCCTTCCTTCTTACGCATACACCGTAAAACCACTTCCCAGCACAGAAACTGGAACACCGACAATAATGGTCTTTCCCAGTCTCACTCCCTTGGCTCCCCCAGCCCTAGGTCACCACTCTCCCACAGCCATGTTTTCTGTCCTTTTAATAGTTTTATAACATTACGTATATTCCCTCAAAGTACGTTTTTTTCCTACTCGGTTTTATTAAACATTATTATTTTATTATTAAGCCTTATTTAAAAAGTATATAAGGCTATATATAATCTGAGATTTACCTTTTTTATTCAGAATCCTATTGCTAGGAGCCATCTTGGGTTGTGCAGCTGAAGTGCATTCATTTTGACAGCTATGTAATATTCCACCATATAAATAAGCCACAGTAAATTCATCCCTGGCTCTAGCCATTCTCCTTTCCTTCCTGCCTTTTGGGGGACGGGTAGCAGGCACAGAGTCCTAGGGTGTGTCATGCAGGTGAGGTGGGGAGTGAAGTTGTATTCTTGAAGAGCCTGACGTTTCTGTCCCAGGTACAATGTTGTTTTCAAGTACTTACTGAGCGTACGCCGGGTGCAGGCTGAGCTGCAGCACTGCTGGGCCCTACAGATGCAGCGCAAGCACCTCAAGTCCAACCAGACCGACGCAGTCAAGTGGCGCCTAAGAAATCACATGGCATTCTTGGTGGATAATCTTCAGTACTATCTCCAGGTCTGGGCCAAGGGATGAATAGGAGGAAGGGGTATGAAGAAAAGTCTGGGAGGTTGGCAGGGTTTACTGAAGAAGGACTGCAATCCTGCATTGGATGAAATGTTGGGGGTTGAGAAAATTCACAGATTTTATCACCGGGTGGGGTTTCTTGGTGGCATTTGAGAGGAAAGTGGGAATAAATGGAAGGAGAATGAGGAGTTTGGGGTTCTTGTCAGCAATGCAGTATTTAATTCTTGCTGATTTGACCCTCATTTTTAGAGTTGGCTAGAAGGTCTGGAATCTGTAGGACTTAACCAAGTCAGTCGGTGGAGGGGATCTGCCAGAACTTTGGAGGTTATTAGGCATTAGGCAGATAACTTTCTACAAGGCTAAGCAACATAAGGGAGCCTTTGGTCAGCTTTAAAGTGGCTTGAATAGGAAGGAGAATTTCTCTTTCATACTGTCAGGCATCTTAATGTCCTCGAGTGCTTAGAATGTTCTAGGTCCTCAAAGTATCTGTGTGTCACTGCCCATCAGGTGGATGTGCTGGAGTCTCAGTTCTCACAGCTGCTACATCAGATCAATTCTACCCGCGACTTTGAAAGCATCCGATTGGCTCACGACCACTTCCTTAGCAATTTGCTGGCTCAGTCCTTTATCTTGTTGAAACCTGTAAGTAGCGCTGTTAAGTTTCCTCAGACTGCTTCTCCCCTGACTGTTCCCTTAGATCCCGAGTTGCCAGGATATGGAAATATCATTAAACAATTGCTCGATCTCCATTTTCAGACCTTTTTCACAACTTAAAGTAAAACTAAAAGGGAATGTTAAAAGGGAACTTAAATGTCTGAATTTCTGAAATATTGTATCCTAGGGATGTGGTAAGTAGCTATAGAAGAAAGAATATGTGCTGAACCCTCAAAGGGAAGGATTTAATTTAAAAGACCTTTCTGACACCACAGAAAGACTAACGAAAAGCATATATAGTACTTACTTTCTTAGCAATCTTTTGGATCAGGATCGACCAGTTGGGATTTGTTTTCAAGGAGAAGTGGAGTAGTGTCTCCCGGTGTATGTGTGTATGTACATCTCCTTCAGGGGAATTCTTCTCAACCTTGGCTACACATGGGAATCACCTGGAAGCTTTAAAAAATCTGGGACCCCGAGCACTTAAATTAGGATCTCTGGAGTGAAACCCAGGCACTAGTGTTTTTTTAAAGCTCACAAGTGCATGCCAATTCCAGAATAGAAAGCGGGAAGGTTGAAATGACCCCTCATAGTTTCTCTGATTATATAGGTTGCATAGATTACACTTCATCTCTGTCAGCCAGCTGTTCTCCCTCAGTTCTGCCACACCACAAACTCTACAGCCTTCTCTTTTGTTCCTATTCGGAGCTATTTTTGCTGCACTAAAGGAGAGCTGGTTATATAGATGCCACTCCCAAGAGCTCTTTCTGTGAACTGACAACACCAAAAGCCGTTGTGACAGGCAGACTGTCCTTGTATGGCATGAGCGCATCCTTGGGAAAAGCAGAAGATCAGTGCAGGTGGTCACCATTAAATATTTATTGAGTGCTTACTGTATGCAAGGCACTGGGGATACAAAGAGGTATAAATCATGGCTCTGCCCTTAAGGAGCTCACAATCTAGTTGGAGAAACAGAACATACATATATACATACATACATACATACATACACAGATCAGTAACAACACAGGTTGCCTGAACAGAGGCCAAGAGAACAGTACAGATAATAGAGAGAAGCAGGGGGTCACTAAAGGCTACACGGGGAAGGGAGTGCTCCACGGAGAAGGTGGAACGTGAACTGGCATTAAGGAGAGGATCCCGGCTACAGGGAACGACAGTGGAAGCAAAGCTCAGGGCAGGAGCACACTTGGTGGGTCCCAGAAACGATGACTGGTGTGATGTGGCTACAACGGAAGTTTTGTGCAGGGGTGACTCAGAGAATGGTAGCATCTTTGCCAGGAAGGGAAGAGTTTGGTTTACACTTGTTGCATTTTGAGGGGCCAGCAGGACTGACCCGTGACATTGTCTCTCCTGAGGTCAAAGAATGGGAATAAGGTAGCTCTTTGACTGTTTTCCCCAATCTTTAATTTCATACATGTTATCTTCTTTTCCTAATACCAACCGTTTCCTGGGTAGGTGTTTCACTGCCTGAACGAAATCCTAGATCTCTGTCACAGCTTTTGCTCGCTGGTCAGTCAGAACCTGGGCCCACTGGATGAACGTGGGGCTGCCCAGCTGAGCATCCTGGTGAAGGTGAGTCTGCCTGGCTGTTGGCAGTATGCAGCCCTGTCCAAAGGGTAGAGGTTGTTTTGCCAATGGGGAATCATGATCTTTCGCTCTGTGTCAATAAAGCATTTCCCCAATACATAATGTACACACAGAAATAACAAGATACAAAGATTAAAATGTTGGTATCAGTTCATTTTGAGGCAGATAATTATGTGCCATCTCAGCATTCAAAAAAAGTTCAGCCGTGAATAGTTTCTTCAGCCCACACACATGCATTGGCTTTTTTCTCACATTCTCCTATCCAACCTCCTTCCTTCCTTGAGCGAACTCTGTTTCACTGGGATTGTAATTATCTGACTCTAACAAAAACACGCAGGCTCTCCCCAGCCCGAGTATAAAACAGAATATATTAATTTGAAAACAGATGCTAACTTCCTACTGAGAATGGGAGTGTACTTCCACAGAAAGTCACGCTATCAGTGGACTCGGTACTAAGAAGACCTTTTAGGAGCTAAGAGAAGCGAGGCTGTGGGAAGGCCAGCTGGTGCTGTAGAATTTTGAGCAAGAGTTTTTCAAGGAGCTCCCCCCTCCCGCCTCACTCCACACGGACAGTTGGTGAGTCTGAGAGGAATGACAGCCCGACTCCTCTCTGCAGGGCTTTAGCCGCCAGTCTTCACTGCTATTCAAGATTCTCTCCAGTGTTCGGAACCATCAGATCAACTCAGATTTGGCTCAACTACTCTTACGACTAGATTATAACAAATATTACACCCAGGCTGGCGGAACTCTGGGCAGGTAGGAACCAGCCTTGGGGAAGTCTGTGGCATGTGTGTGTGTGTGTTTGTCTTTTTTAACAAGTTGTGTGTGTGTGTGTGTCTGTCTTTTTTAACAAGTTATAATTCCAGAGCTGAGAGACGTTAGCCACTGTCTCATCCAAATGGCCTCATTTTATAAACAAAGAAACTAATTAAAGCTCAGAGAGATAAAGGGGTGTGTTTGATCATCTTTATTAATTTTAATGAAGGTTATTTTCTAGTAAAAGCCATTGTCATAGTAAAACACTAAAACTCCTGATGCTGAGATGGGTTTTTAGTTCTCAGCTGGGCTGGAAGAAAGAACTGGGAAGCAGAGTGGCTGCGGTCAGTTCCCAGGTCTGACATTAACCGGCTCTGCAGCCTCAGGCACCCTGCCTCCCTGGCCCCCAGCCATGCCAGGGAAAGGTGATCGCCCCTTCTAATTCTTAGCTTTTTAATCCAATAGATTCAGTGGTGGTTGGCTTTTCTCAGAGGTCTCTTCTGTTTTTAAAAAGCACTTTATTGTTCTTTCTCTCTCTCAGATGTCCTCAAGCAGTTATTTCCTAACTGATTTTAGCAAAAAAGTCAAAATTGAGTTTTAGAAGATGACATGTAGATCACAGGCTGCCCTGATTCCTCTTTCTTTGAAGAAAATCTTAGGAAAGCATATTTGATGAGGCTTTTTTTTTTTTTAATAGTTTCGGGATGTGAAAATACCTGGTTCACAAATCAAGTCTCTCACCACATTCCCAAATCTGTGACAGAAGATTCAAAACAGCCCACTCTCCAGCCACTCAACAAATGCCTGCAGCCTACTGAGGGCCCTACCTTTTCCCCCTAGAAGCTACTACTACTGAACATCTGTGGGTACAAATCCTTCCCCTGTGGAACAGTCTGCCCCGCCATAGGGGAGCTCTTGCCTCACCCACCACGGGGGGCACGTGGTGACCCTGCAAGACCCACTACACGGAGGACATCTGTTGGACACAACCATTTGCTGAGCACCTATGAGGTGCCTAGGTACTGTTCAAGCTGCAAGAGACAGCAGTAAGTAGTAACTTCCAATTATTTCAGAATGGAAAAGGCAATTCTAGCTATGGACAGTGTATTTAAAGTATTATTACTATTTTAACAAAGAAAAGGGGTCCTTAAGAAAAAGCCTGAGGTCAAATTCTTAGATTTCAAATATTGAAAACTGCGAGTCTCATTATCCCCTTTTGGAAGAACCACAGGAGTTAAGGTTCCCTTGATCTGGCCCAACCATTACTGTAATTATTAATGTTCATCTTGGTGTGAACCAAAATAAGTGTTTATTGAACAACTCCCTCTATACGAAAAAAGAATGCAGCATTCCGGCCTCAGTCTGTAGCCAGTGATTCTGGTCCTTATCTCTGTGACAGAATATCCTCTACCGCACACTGCATCCTGTTTCCTACAATTGTGTGATGAAGGTGACTCCTTCCACTGCTGTCTATGGAGAAGTTAGCAAACTATGGCCCGCCACCTGTTGTTTTTGTGAATAAAGTTTTATTGGAACCCAGCCACACTCATTTACCTATTGTCTGTGGTTGCTTTCATGCCATCATGGCAAAGGTGAGTATTTGTGACACATCAGATGGTCCAGAAAGCCTAAAATATTTACTGATAGGCAAGAAAAACTTTTTAACTCCTGCTTCAGAGAATGAGAGAACATCAACAGGGATGCTGCTAGGGGTAGAGAAGGAATAGCTTCTAGTAACCGTGACAGCAATAATAGTTATAAAATGGGACCTCTGGCCAGAGCTTCTAACATTTCCAGGTGTTGTCCGTTTCCCGTGTTTATCCTTGCAGAAAGTCATCCCATCAGGCTTATAGTCGCTGCCCTTTCACAGCAATTGGGGCTTTTTCCTTTGTAGTTCTGAGTACAGTACCCACAGGTCAGCTCAACTCTAAAAAGATTTTAATTGCCAGGAAGTGCCCCATTCCATTCAACTTTTGCTACATCATCTATTGATCTGGGCCTACTGTAAAATCGGGTTTTATCGGGAAGTATCAAATTTTAGACAGCCCAGGATAACCTTTTGACAAAGATGCCACAGAAAATTTTAAAAATTCACTTATTATTTTCCTTGGCTAGCTGTCCTCCTACTCCAAGCCTACTGGAAACCGCAGAGAAGGTACTATGTTTGTCTTGCTATTTGTTCTGCGATTAAGTTCAAAGAAATGGATGAAGAAATCCCAGTTATTACAACCAAAGAGATTCAACATTTATTTTATCATAAAAGTCCATCAAATAAAACTATATACAAGATCCATGCAAGGAGTCCAGTTACACACAAGACACATTTAAAACCTGGTTAAAACACAATCTCCACAACAGCAGGGAATAAAATCATTAAGACCAAGTATCCTTAGTGAGAAACATAATCATGTTTATATTTTGGATGCTGCTTGAATCCAATTCTCTCCCCAACAATGAGGCACTGGATCACCCACTCTTGTGACACCACAGGCAGCTGCAATGCTTCAGCACACTTCAGCACCGAGGCTGGGCATGAGGGATCCGTCACCACCACGTCAAATACCCCTAACGCAATATCTGCAGGAAGCAGGGGAAGGTGAGGGAGGAGAGGAGACTCAATTTAGCCTTCCATTAAAAAAGATGTGCTTCCTAGCCAGTATGTCGCATTGTGCCCAAACTGAAGCCTTTGATGTCAAACAGTGTTACTGATCACAACCACAAATGAAAAGTTATAATCACTATATGCTAACCTTATAGATATGTTTATAAATACACCACTGGACACCAACAGAAGCATCAACAGCCCAGTGCCTCACTCCTAGTGGCTCACCTCTTGAAGGTGTGGTACCTTTCTTCTCTTAGAAACACGGATAACGTCAACCAATCAGACCACAAGGCCTAACACCTACGGGTCTAAGGACATCCTTGGAGCAATAACACCACACACACTTTCCAGGTACCTTTGTTATGGGCACTTGAATGGTGCTGCTTCACGGAGGCTGCCCCCCCAGTCATGAGGATCTCAGACCAGAGCTCCAGGAAGTTCTGCTGTTGGTCTGACACCAAGAGTACCTTCAGATTGTGGAAAGGGTTTTCACGGGGTTGCCTACGAAGGAGTCAGAGACACAGCACCTTGGAATTGGAAAAGACCTTAGCATGACAGATTACATCCAACAAGAGCCCTTCTGCAAAGGGACTTTGGCACCTGTGAATGTTTTCCAAAGCCTTGCATTAGGGCACCACTCCCCTTCTCTCCTGTGAATCATGTGTATTCTCTGGGATCCTAGCCTTCTAATTCAGCAGTTCTGCTGTCCAGTTCCGTCCAGGGACTGAGAATAAAATGCCTTGCTTAAAACTTAGTCCCTTAACCTTAGAAGTCGAGACTACTAAACCTACATGGAAATCCTCACACCTTTTCAAAAAGGTCCTTAACCAGGATACCTCAGGGACATAAACTAGATGAACTGCTAAAATGAACTCACTCAAATTCTCTAATTTATCCTATGACGACTCTAGTTTCTAGAAATACTCTCGCCTAGATTCTCCCCCTCCAAAAGCATGCTGTCTTCCTGCCTACCATCCTAGATGGGTTCTCAAATACTCACCAATCCAGAATTCTTTGCTCCTCAAGGCTGTACCCAGCAGGCAGCAAATAATTGCGGTAATTCTGGAGTTGGTTGGCATGGCAACTATCATGGACCCAGACATGAGACACACAAGGAATCCCACTGGCAAGGCACAGGAAATACTTCCGGGTTCGACAGTGCTGATCCGCAATTAGGAGACACTGGTAGGCTGTATTACACTGGAAGAAAAGGAACAGAACCAATGGGTCTGGTGACTTCTATAGAAAGCCCCTGAAGCGCACCCCTGAGTCACAGGGAACAGATCTGAACACTTCCAAATACTACCCAAAATGGGGTTGAGCCTATCCTTCTGCCCAATGCTTCCTTTCTCAATGAAAGGCCCAAGTGACTTCCCTAGATACTCTCCCTGCCTCAACTGCAGGTTTTTCTGGGGGCCTGAACCCTTAAGGGACAACACAATCGCAGGTATTCAACCTTCCAGGCTGAGAATCAGCAACACTGTAATAGGGATTTCTATTAAACACAAATTTTAATCTGCTTTTGTCCCAGAAACAGAACCACAGCCTTTAACAAACAAGGGTTCTAATTTCTCCTCCTTACACACAAGTAAAAATTCTGTTTCATGCAAAACCTTGTAGCGGTTTCCCAGTGCCTGAACTGTCTACCTGGTGTACCCAACCTCCCCATCCCCTCCCTGTCAGGCTCTTCTCACCCCTCCCCTCCAGGAAGCGACACGAAACTCCTCACCTGGGCTTCATTGAAGTCTTCAAGAATATAGCCAGCTCCTGCTCGAAGCTGGGATTCTGTATACTGCTTGTTGAAAGGAGGAATTTCTAAAAATTCTATTTAAAAAAACAGACAACCAAGATCATAATTACTAGTTGGTTTCTTATTCGTTCGCTACTTTAAGCCTGCTTCTTACTGCCTCCTTTTACAGCCCCCCCCCACTATCTCTATAGCACTATATCCCAAAGACAGACCGATCAAAGGCTTTCCCATGGGTCAGAAAGAGCTCTGTCATGAGGATTACAAAATCCTGCTGAAAGAAGGGATAAGAGCAGAAGGGGTGGGGAAGATGAGAAATGGGGTGGGTCCTAGACCTAAAAACATCAAAGATTTCTGTACTGAGTCATGGGACTGTTAACAGGGATGGACACACAACCAGTTCCCATGGTGAGGTATTCCAATTTGAGTAACCCTTACCATCAGGACGCTGTCCCTTAGGTCTACCCTCAATCTCTCCTGCAAACTACGCCCATTTCCTCTAATTCTGCCGGCTTGTGGAGACGAAGAGTAGCTGATTAAGCACTTTTTCTAACAAAGCCTTCAAACTCCCCCTTCATCAGCATTTTTACCCCCTATACACTAAAACTTTGATGAACCAGAATGCTCAAAGTAATTAGGGTTTCTAAAATGT